TTGGAGGCCACCAGCACGAACTCCTGCTGGCGATCGTTGTTGCGCCAGACGAGAGCCAGGCTGCAGTCCTCTTCCAGCTCCAGCGGGGCGTCTCCTGGGGCGGGGGGGCAGGGTCAGCGGTGGAGCGCAGCCAGCAGCCCCTCCCCGCTCCCCCGCCTCAGGCACCTTTATCCTCTAGCCGCTGCTCTCGGCTGGATGCGTCGATTTTATAGATCAAGAACTGGGACGTGTGGGAATTCATGGCTTCACTTGGGTGTTGGTACCCGGGCACAGCAGCTGTGAGAACACGACCATCAGAGCCCAAGCAAGCGTCCCCCACTCCCCTCCCCACCCCGGCTGCAGAGCCTCACACCAGACGCGTACCTTCGGGCCGGGGCACCTTCTCACCAGCAGGCAAGGAGCCCCCTTCAATGGGCCCGCTGGCCTGCATCTCAGAAGAAATGCCACTGGTGCTGGGCACAGGTCCCCGATCCGGGGCTGCCCATGCCCGGGGCACCGTGTCCCCCTCAGCCACGGGAGTCACCACCTGGAGCTCCGGCGGCGGCATGGAGTCCCTCTCGCTGTCCCCAGCCTCCGGGAGGCTAGTGGAGTGCAGCGTGGGGTAGCCAGGGGGCTCCAAGGCCATGCGGCCAGGCTGGAAGGGCGGCTGAAAGGGCGGCTGGAAGACGCTCACAGAATACCTGCAACAGGCAGCAAGGCAAGTAGGAACCCTGATCAGCCTATCCACACCCCCACCCCCCCAGTTCAGCCACTGGGCACTCACCGGGCATAGCCCTCCAGCAACTGGGCGAGTCGGGCGTAAGTGAGACGGGAGGCAGGTACGCTGACCAGGAAGGGGTAGCCGATGTTCTCAGGGCGGCAGAGGCCCTTGTGGTCAGGCCAGTGGGTTTTCTGGCAGAGCCTGGAGGGAGGGGGGCAGGGCAGGGGGGAGAGGGTCTGAGCCCGAGGCCTCCGCTGACCCTGCCCTGGGGGCTAGCCTCTGGCCCTGGGAAATGCCAGCCCG